GAGAGCAGAGCAGACACCTCGTAGGCCACAGCGTCACTGCCCGCCACGGCCGCAGCCACGCTGTCCATCCAAGTGCAGCCCCGCGTCAACACCCTCCTGTGCTCTCTGCCACTCCACGCCGAGCGAGTCGTCTTCATCCAGTGACAGTTCCTAACATGAGCATTTGAAAACTTTCTCGTGTGTTCTTTATAACGGCATTTTGAGAGTAATTTTTATTTTATTTTTTATTTTTATTTTTTTTTGAGAGAGATTTTCACTGTAGGGCGCATGCGCTCGCCAGACAGACAGAGAGAGACAGAGAGACAGAAAGTGAGAAATCACCCCCCAGGGGGGATGGTCACGCCGCAATCCCTTCTCCATTCTCCTCTCGGGATCTTGGGCACGCACGCACACGCGCCCAGCGTGAGTTTTAAGCCACCGGGTCCGGGACACGAACCGCGGGCGACTACGTGGGAGTCCAGCGACATAGCCATTACGCTAACTGCTGGTTCCCTAATTTTTATTATTTTATCATCTTATTCATGAGAAAATCGAGGTCCAAAGTGCTTAAGTCACTTTCGCAGCTTCACACAGAGGGTCTGCGGTGGGGGACCCTGCAGTGCAGTGGGGGGCCCTGCAGTGTGGTAGGGGGTCCTGCAGTGCAGTGAGGGGCCCTGCAGTGGGGTGGGTGGCCCTGCGGTGGGGGGCCCTGTGGTGGGGCAGCCCTGCAGTGCAGTGGGGGCCCTGTGCATAGGGAGCCCCAACCCACATGGCCAACAGCAGACGGTATCAGGGCATGGCAGTTTGAAAACACACCAGGGCATGGCAGATAAGGCACTGGACTCCCACCTAGCCAACCATGATTCTAGCCCTGGACCTGGTGGCTGGCTTTTTCACTCCCCCACCCCCAACTCTCCCTGCTGAGTGCATGTGCCCTATAGAAAATTAAAAAAAAATAATGATAATAAATAAAAATAAATGAATAGTTCTTTAAAAAGAAAGGGAGAGAGAGAGAGAGAAAGAAAGAGAGAAAGAAAGAAAGAGAAGGGAAACATGCCAGGCGCCTATCTGTGCTCTGGATCCCGAGAGGATGGAGAAAGGGAGGGAGAGATTGCAGCAGCCAGGCCCACCGGGGGCTCGCTCTCCCCCCTTCTCTGCCATGCTCACACACCCCCGGCAAAGAGAAGAAAGGGAAATAAACTGCAGTGGAAGCGGCGTCCGGGTCGATGCAACCCTAAAGCCAACCTCGCAGCTGCACAGCCCGCTTTCCCTTCACAGGGGAGACGGGTCGGAAAAGGAGGCGGCTGGAGAAGGAGGGGCCCCCACGTGAGCCTGACGTCCTGGAGTTGTCCTCGGTCTGCTCCGGCCGAGGCCCGCGCTCACAGCACAGAGCGACCTCATTCTCTAACGGTCGGCCACCCAGTCACGATTACTACGGGATTTCGGCATTTCGGGTATCACTCCCACTCTCCCACTAGTTTTACTGACCAAGAGGATGAGCGTTAAGTCATTATCTTGTGAGAGCTGCTCCCAGGGACCAAGCCACTAAATGGAAAACCCGGGTTTGAATCTGGCTAGCTTACTGCAAATCCTACCCACCCCGAGACTACAGGAATCCGCTTTGGTATTTATTAGTTCAGGGCACCGGCCACCAACCTGTGGGGGTCGTGTGCCTCCCTCCGACGTCCCTGCCTACCCGGTTGGGCGTATGCATGCTGGAGAGAGCGGCCATCTGAGCTAGCCGGGCGGGGTCTACTCAGGTGTTTTCTAGCTAACGTGCTATTCTTTCATCTGGCATTCAGAGGGAAGAGCCACTCCGTCGCCCTGAAGGGAGTATTCCCCGTAGTCACACGATTTCCGGAGGCCACCAGGCAGCCAGGTGATGGTGCAATGGTGAGGCAATAGGCCCACAGGGACCAGATCCTGGGCTCTCTCTCCAGCAGCCCCCTGGGTGTGCCACGTGCTCGGCATGCGTGACCCGGCCTGGCTGAGATCAAGAGTGGACTGCAGGGTGAAGACCCCACTGGGGGTGCCCCCTGCCTCTTTCTGTCATGAAACATAAATAAATAAACTTAAAAAAAAAAAAAGCCCCTGGAACAGGCAGGCACACAGCCACTGCTTTTTGCAAACTAGTCTTGAGGGAGACACGCCGTCCCGTGGGGCCCTTCACGCCCTGGGCCTTGGCTTTCTCATCCATGGCAGTGGCTGACGAGCAGCAGAAACCGAGGGTCCCCACATCCCGGCCAGACAACTGGTGGTTCCCAGTCTCCCTTGGTCAGCGCCAAGTCGGAGACGGCCTCTCACGGCGTGCAATGTCAGCACCTCGGCACAAGGCTCCCTTTAGTTTTCAGTCTCCTCTTAAAACATTCTAATATTGACTTTATTTATTTTTTTTAAAAAAATTATTTATCTATTTATTTGTTGTGATTTTCAAGGCTGGCCCAGGACTTGAACCATGGTTGGCCATCGAGGAATCCAGCACCCCAACCACAAAGGCATTGTGTACCGTTGAGTTCGCGGCATGGAGTGGCAGGGTCCAGGCGGATGGTAAATGGTTACCACAGCGTCAGTATCACCTCACGTGACTCTCACGTCTCATCTCATTTTATTTTGTGACAAAAACAGCCAAATTGGGACCAGCAGGTGGCATAGTGGCTAAGGCGCTGGACACTCCCACATGGCCGACCACGGTTTGAGTCCCGGACCTGGTGGCTTCCTTTCTCACTTTCTCTCTCTCTCTCTCTCTGTTTCTCTCTGGTTAAATTAAAATAAATGAATAAATAAATAAGATTAAATAAATAATTTTTAAAAAAGAACAGCCAAATCTACTCATTTAACACAGATCTGTAATGTGGGACCAGCGGATGGCCTAGTGGTTAAGGCACTGGGTCCCACATCGCCGATCACAGTTCAAGTCCCACACCTGGCAGCTTGAAACTTGCATCAGGTCATGTGCGTGGGTGCCCAAAATCCCAGGAGGAGAGTGGAGAGGGGACTGTGGCACGGCCATCCCCCTGGGCAGTGATCTCTCCCTCTTCTTCTCACTGTCTCCCCCTGGCAAGTGCATGCACCCCATGGCAAAACCCTTAAAAACAAAACAGAAAGGCCCCTCTAACATGACACGGCTTTCTTTAGCTGTAGTCCTCACGTGCTGCCTCCAATCTAGACTCGCTCGCTCTGCACGCCACTCCTCGTTTCCTTTCCTAAATCTCCCGGTTCATTCCCCTCCTCCTGCTTGTGGGAACCACCGTTTTATTCTCTATTTCTACATATTTGACTTTTTAATTTTTTTATGTTTGCATATAAGTGAGATCATGCAATATTTTTATTTTCGTATCTGATTTATTTCAGTTAGCATTGTATCCTCCATGTCCATCCAAGTGGTGGCAAATGGCAGGACCCTTTTTTTTTTTTGTAGAGGTTTCTGCCTTAGGGCATGTGCACTCGCTAGAGGGAGAGAGAGACAGAGACAGCGAGAGGGAAAGTGAGAAGTCACCCCCAAAGGGGGATGGCCATGCCACACTCTCTTCTCCTCCATTCTCCTCCCAGGATCTTGGGCTCGCATACACATGCACCCAGTGTGAGTTTCAAGCCACTGGGTCTGGGACTCGAACCACAGCCATGTGGGAGTCCAGCACTGTAACTGCTACGCCGTGTGCTGGCCCCCACGATCTTTGTAAAGGCCGAGCAACATGCCGTTGTATTAAACAGCATATTTTCTTTACTCGCTTGTTTATTCCCGTGTCCTGGTCGCTGGGAATAGTGCTTCCATGAACGTGGGAATGCAGACCCCTTAGCAGTGATTTCACCACCTCTGGGACCGTGCCCAGGACGGGATTATGGGATTGTGTGGTAGTTTTATTTCTAATTTCTCCGGAAACTCCATGTTTTCATCATGGCCGTATCAGTCTACATTCCCACTAATGGTATACTAGAATTCCCTCTTTTCCACACTCTCACTATTTGTTATCAATTGTCTTTAAAAAGAAGACAGTTACGGGGCTGGCAGGTGGCAGGTGGTTAAGGCACTGGACTCCCACGTGGCTCACTGCAGTGTGAGTCCCAGACCTGGTAGCTTGCTTTCCCACTTTCCCTTTCTCTTTCTCTCTGTCTCTCTGGCCAAATTAAAAAAAAAAAAAGAAATTAAATAAATAATTTTTATTTTAAAAATAAATAAATAATTATCACACTAATTCCCAATTTACACATTCCTAATGTACATATCTGTGGGGTACACTAAGTGGAATAAGCTTGTCGCAAAAGGACAGATACTTTCTGAATCCACTCGTCTGAAGCATCTAGAGCAGTCGCGTCTACGGAAACAGAAAACAGAACGGGGCTCAGCAGGGCGTGCGGAGAGGAGGGAGCGGGCGCCGCAGTCGCAGTCCCGGGGCTAGAGTGCTTGGTCCCCAGAGGGAGTCCTGGAGACCTGACGCACCCCGTGTGGGTACACGGAACACCACTGGAATGGTAGATTCATTTAGGTGTAGTTGGCCAAAATTAATAACTTCTAGAATCTCATAGCATTTAGAAATATCAACAATAATTATGTAGAAAATGTCACAGAAGAAAAGAGCTTGACCTCCACGAAAAGAGTGAACACGAGGAGAGGCCTGGGTGACCGCGGACGACCGTTCGTGGGAGGCGGTATCGCTAAAATACCTGTTTGTCACAACTCCTTCTAATTATCCTCCAGTGTAT